CTGGAAAGCAAATCGGGAACTGGCAGCGTCTGTCGTGTAGCAGAAACCTTTTGAGTCTGTAAGAGTAACAGCAGACATGAAGACAATCCCACTGTGAGTCAACATACATTGCTCCAGCTGCTTCTACTGGGTATTTCATCACAATAACGAAAGAGTACCTAGTACAGTGGACTTGAGGATCCCCCACAGCTCCACCAGACTCTCCTGTCAGCCTGTGCAGAGTCATAGATAATGGCAGTGGGTACTGTAAGCTTAACCTGGCTGACTGCAGCTGCCATCTCATATGCAAATTAGCATCCTCCTCTCCTGCAGCTATTCAGCAGACATACCCTTTCTCTACACCTCTCCCCTCAGCCTTCGAGGAAAGCAGCTTGCTTTCATCTGCCAAGGCCACCATGCACCTGTCCTGTCCTACCTCAGGATGATTAACTCCCTGTCTCCTGTCAGAATTTACCGCACTGAGCACTCGTGTCTCTCCCTTCTAGACTACATCATACTGGTCCATTGCCCTGATGTTCTAACAGGCAAGAAGCAGCAACTATGGCAGAATTATTGGTAAACATTTGCATGTCGTTGGGTGAAATAAATCCAGCAAAATTCTAGATCCTCCTTGCTATCTGAGCAAGGATTCTAGAGCCTCATACCTTAGTGGATCCTCTAGATCCTTCTATCTCAGCAAGGTTTCTAGACCTCCTACCTCTGTGAGGTCATTCTAGGAGTCCAGAGGTTTAGCGCATGCTGAGTGCCTCTCCAAGATGAGGAATAAACTGTCACTTCCGGCCCTTCCTACAACAGGAAAGAGGGGTAGTATCTGGGGCTGCTGGACCTGGGCTGCTGCACCTCCCTCCCTTGGGTACATTCTTCTGGTCCAAATAGCAGCTGGCTTAATTGTGACCCAGACAGAAGTCTCTGCCACAGGCTTACACTGCTTGATGTCTTGGGCCATAAGCCAAGCAGGTCCAGTGGTCCTGTCATGGTGGGAGACCTCTACAAGGGAGTCGTAGTGCCAGCCCTAGGGACTTTCCCTCTACGGAATAACTCCCCTTTTAAGCTACAGCTCCTAGCATGTTATATCCGAGTCCACGGGCTATGTCCTGTGTTTGGCCGGGTGGTCAGGGACTCGGGAAGAACATAACGGGAAAATGGGGTAAAGCAATATAGGCAAAGATATCTGCATAAATGTCTTTGAATGGGCAGAAATGTGAAGATCTGCACCATTTGAATGCTCAGCAAAGACTGGCCTCAGGGGAGGAGAGTCTAAGTGGATAGGAACATTTGTTCTGTGAAGAGTAGATGGTGTCTTCCACGGTCACTCCTGTCATGGCCCATGGCATTGTCATGGGCTCAGCAACATGGACTTCCAGCTTACCAAGGTTAACCTGACTGCAAATGCTACTGAGGAACTCAAGCAGATGAACTTCCCACACCTGGCCTGAGGAAGGAGGAGAGATTATACTGGACAGGAAGTCAAGAAACGTGAACAGGGACTTAGTCACCTGGAGGCTGCCAAGGACATCAAGAATAACCCAGGTGAGGGATCAAGAAAAATCAGGACAGCTCAGGGTAAATGGGAGACAGCACCCAGGCCCTGGGGTCCATGTCCTCAGAGACCACAACAAATTAAAATGGCAGGAATGTGGATTGAGAGGGAGGCTTTTTCAAATGGGGAGCAGTTATTCTTTCATGGGGTTGGGGATAACCCAGCAGAGGAAGGCGATCTGAGGTAGGGAGAGGTAGGGAGACTTTGGAGCCAGTGGGCTCAAAGCCTGTGAGATGAATGGTTTTCCTAGACATGCCCCAGCTCCCACTCTCCTTGCGGAGAGTACAGGCATTCCTTATACGGCCCCACCCGTCTGGGGCTTCTATCAGAGGAGTTCTTGGATGGAGCTCACTTCCTCCTTGAAGCGCTAGCCTTCCAGGGCTCTGACCGGCTCCTCCAAGTTGGACCATAATTCTCCTGCTGTTCTTGTACATTCTTGGCTGATCCCCATCTCTTCCTAAGCCCCACCTCTCTCTTGTGTTTTGGATTCCTTATGTGAGTTGCTGAAGACCATCAGGTTTTTTTAATCAATGTGCATGTATAAGGTACATTTTTATTATTTTCAGCTGGTCTGAAAATGCCTCATTTTTCTCCCACCCTACTCACAAGTAGTTGGTTTAGACACTGAATCTTTGATTCAAATTTATCCTTTCTCATTATTTCAAAGCTATCTTTTTTCTTCCTCGGGGCAGTGGATTTTATGGTAAAGCTTCTGCAAGTCTCCTCCCTATTTTCTGTAGGTTATATATTCTGGATACTTCTGGTATGTTCTGGTTATCCTAGTAACTCTGTATGACCCCAGAACACAGTGAGCTTCTATCCTGCACAATCTGCCCTGTTCCATACCCAGTGAGTCCCTTCACTCTGAAGATTTATGCCTTCCCTAAGCTCCAAGTTTTCTTGTATTATTTTTGGTTATTGTACATGGTTTTTGTCCTTTCTAACAGCCTTCGGAGAATGTCACCGAGCCCTGCTTTTGACTGATCACAGTTCTTAACATTTTTCTACATTTTTCCATCTCTTCATTTTTAGTTTGGTTTTTTTTTTCTGAGAGATGTGACTTTTATCTTCAAGTTTACTAAGTCAATCTTTAATTATCCTTATTCTCTTTTTTAGCCCTTTATGGATTGTTACGATTTCCTTTAATCACAACTGTGGTTTCTACAAATGTTTTCTGTTCTGTCGTCGTTCAGCTTTGAGGGACGTTTGGTTCTTATTAGATTCAGTCGTCATAGGAACACCACTCTGCCACCGCTCAGTGCTTCCGACAGCTCTGCTGGCTTCTGTCATTTAGGGAACAGGCGGTAATAGACCGCTTTCTTCTTAATGCATTGTTTTACACATGGACTCAAATACGATGAGACCAAGTTCTTGGCCTTTGCTAAGTCCATTCATAGAGGAGCAGCAAGGACTCTCCCCATGCCTAGGCAGATCCAGTTCTGTGCTATCTCCCACCACATCTGGATCTGCAAAGCCCTCAGGTGCCCAGATAAGGCTTGCGTCCTGTTGGGGAACCCTGCTGTTAAGGTGGACTCCTTTCTCAGCTGGGGCTTCCTGCTCTCTGCCTGACCTTGTTTGGAAACTGCCTCCAGGCACGATGCCTGGCCTTATTTGGAACATGACCTTTGGCATAGTTACCTGCAATAAAACTGCCCCCAGGTTTTTTCTATATAGACATTTCCCTATAGCCGGATGATAGGATCCCCCTACCACATGTAAATAAAGCATACTGCGAGCACCTATCAGCTGAAGCTTTGGCTGCTGCCTCCACACTATATTTTCCCTGACCCCCACTGGATAAACGGAGCTGTATCACCGAAGCTGTCTCCCAGAAGGTGTTTTCCGTCCATGTTCCCTGGCTGTCCTGACCTGGTTCATTGCTTCTGCTCCCTTTGTTCTTGTGGGTCGGTGGCCAACGGCCCTCAAGGGGAGGGAGAGACTCACAGTTTTCCAAGTCAGTGCCACTTGGAGGTGGTGGGACCTTAGAGAAGTAGTGCCTAGTGAGAAGTCCCTAGGACAGGGGAGCATCCATGAGTGAGATTGTGGATCCCAGGCTCTTCTTTCTCTTTGACTCGATTCCTAGGTGAGTGATTTTATTCAATAACACATTCCCACTGTGTTGTGCTGCCTCACCACAGACAAAAGCCAGGAGGCCACTTGTGGACTGAAGCTTCCAAAATGATGAGCCAGA